ACTTCTGGCATCCACCATGACTCTGGGCATCCGGAATCCTCCCGTGGGGCCGCATAATGAGGTGTGGATAACCAGCTGGTGCCAACAACTCCTCACCACAAGATGCTGAGGCCCGTGGCTCGACCTAGACATGTTGGCGCTTCACGTGTGAAATTCAATCTCAATCAAGGCGGGGTGAGGGTGGGGAATCCGAAGATAACCGTGGACATCTTCATCTGTCATGTTTTTCAAGACAAGCGAGCACGAGGATTATATATGTCCCACCAGCCTTTGGGCCGAGGTGGTGTAACGATTCTCCCTCTCTCTTCAAGAACTCCTTTTTCTCCTCTGGGAACGGGTTTAATCACAGCTCCTGGTTTCAATTGAACCCCTCCCCCCCAAAAAAAATTCAAAGTTCATTGTGCGGCAGAATGTTGGGTGCTGTTCGGGGGGGGGGGGGGCGAGCACGTTGCACCGATGCCTGACAGGTACGGCGGGGTGCTGGAATATTGCCTGCGCTGTGCAGACATCCCCATGGCCACTCCGACACGACTGTGCGTCGGTTTTCGATAAGGGTGGTGGGTGCCGACAAGTTTCTCCATGCGCGCGGGCGCACCTGCCACACTCTGTGCGTGCCCCGAACGTGGTGCACCTGGCGCGGCTGGAGTAGGCGACACGCTTGGCGCACGTGGAACACGTGGCGCATCTGGCGCACCAGGCGTGCCTGGCACGCTTGGGCCCCAGGGGCGCCTGGCGCGCCTGGTGCGCGTGGCGCGCTGGGCACGCGTGGCGCACCTCGCCTCAGCGTCGCGCATCTTGGGTCTGTAATGATTGGTTCCCAGTATAGCTGCCCATCCGAAGACGACCACTGAATACGCTGAGCCTTGAGTGCTGCTTATGTGTTCGGAGGGCGGGTGGGACTGAGGCGAACAATTTATGTCTGGGAGAGGTGTCTTGACCTCTCCCCCTAGCCCGTCCCCTGGGTCGAAACGGGGGGGGCGCGGGTCGCTGGAGCGTTCAAGGCGGCCCAAGATGGGTCCAAGAGCGCCTCAGAGAGCTCAGGATGGCTTCCACGACGCTCCGAGACCGCTCCAAGACGGGCCCAAGTGGCCACAGGTCATCCAGGAAGGCCCCCTGAGAGGCCCCAGTCCTCCAGGAACACAGGCGACATCACTGTGTCCCTGCCTCCTCGCCGTTTCGCTTCCGGTGGCCCTCCGAGGCACTGGCTCCGACAGGGCCGTGGAGAGCCCCCGGGGAGGGCCTGGAGGGCTCCAGGACGGCCCCAAGAGCTGCGCAAGAGGACCCCAAGAAGCCAGCCTTCGGCCACCGAGAGGGGAGACCCAATTTCCAGGACCCTGTTTGCATCGATGGAGCCCAAGATGGTCTCAAGATGCCCTCCAGGCCCCCCCAAGAGAGCCCCAAGAGGGCCAACCCCGCTTCCAGAGAGGTTCCAAGATGGCTCCAGAAGGCTTCCCAAAGGTTCGCGGAACGAAAGCTCCGCGAAGGCGTCCATGGTTTACTCGCATGCTGACTTCTAGAAGATGATGATTGCTGATCTTCGGAAGCGATTCTGGGGGCTCTCGCCTTGACGCTGGCTACATTCGGTATGAAAACGAACCTTCCCCTCGAGCGTAGGCTTGGTTCCAAATCCTGGTTGTGGAAGCCTCAACTACGACGACAACGGCTCCCGCTCGACATTTCCTCAGAATTGACTCTGAGACCCCCTGGCCAGAGAGGTCCCCAGCAAGCTCGGGAACGGCGGTCTCGCTCGAGACAACGTTGGTGAAGCCCCAGCTGCGACGACAACTGCTCCCGCTCGTACTCCGTCACAACTTGCTCTAGGATGCCCGGGCGAGAGAGGCCCCAACTCACAGGAACGGCGATCTCGCCTGAGCCTTCCGTGCAACTCCAGCCCACTGGCAACGGCCCAGGTACGACGCAAACGGCTCCCGCTCAATAGTACAAATCACTCGGAGACGCTCTGGCCAGAGAGGCGCCGAAACTGAGGAGCGGCGCTCCCGCCCGACACCTCCTCCCCATTCAACCAAGGACGCAACTGACCAACTGCGACGACGACGGCATCCCGCTCGATACGTCCTCAACACTTCCCCAGAGACGCCCTGGCCGGAGATGCCCCGAAGCTGAGGACGGGCTGTCACGCCCGAGACGTCATCGAAATTCAATCAAGCTGGTGAGTTGCCCGCGGATGCGCTAGTGTGCATTGCGGCCATGGAGGCGCGGTGCGCATACCCTTCTGTAGTCCAACCCGTTCGGGTGGTTGCGATCGGTGCCAGTCAGCTCCTACAGGCCGAAAGTGTCATAATCTGGTTTGGATATCCATCTCCGCCGGAGAGTGCTCGGCCGAATGCTTCTCCCAAGAGCTGGTGTGGCAAGAAGCCCCCCCCCCCAAACAGAAAGGGGCTTCATAGTCTCACTTAGCCTGCGGGTGCAAGGGAAAGGTGAAACTTGTTTTGGGGGATCGCATGTTCGCAAGATGGTCGTCGTCGTCGTCGTCGTGGTCGTCATCGTCGTCTCCTTCTTCCTCCGCCATGCTATTCCTCTTTTCCCCCTCCCCTCGTCCTCTCCTTCCTCCTCATTATTCCTCCTCCTCCTCCTCCTCCTCCTCATCCTTACTCCTCCGGTTCTGCTTCTTTCCTCCTCCCCTTTCAAAAGATGGCGGCCACCCAGCCCACAAATTCGGTTCGACGGCTTCCCTCAAATAATTATTCCACTGTACGCCCCGCCCCCACTTCCCTGGTCAAACCAACTGGCCAAGGCATCGATGCTGGATGGACGAATCAGAATACGCGAAGCGTCAATAGTTTCTCTGCTACTTCGCCTAAGTGACTATCGATGGAGGCATGGAAGCTTCGGAGCCAACACGATGACACCACTTCCAATTCCACACCTCATAATACGTACACAAGAGACCTGAAAACACAATGACTGAACCACGAGAGCATTTCTTTATGTTCGGCGATGACGGGGGTCATGGGGGAGGGGGGGGGCGGGGGGGGGGTATGACGCAACGCCCCCCCCCCCCGCCGTGTGGCTCTGGCACCACAGCCGCGCCCGCGCGCACGACGCGCGACGAGCGACGAACGACGACGACGACGACGAGGACAACGCGAGCAACATGTAGGTGGCGATATGCCCCACTGCGCCTTTGTACACATCGCTCGCGTACACCACATCGCGCGCGAACACCACAACACCTGCGTACACCGCAAGAGCCGTGTGCAACACAGCGCCTGTGTACACCACAGTGCTTGCCTACACTACAGCGCCGGTGTACATGTGTGAGAGAGCGTGATCCACCGCCGCTTTACTATGGAAAATTGCCAACCTTTTCCTCCGGAACCCAAGGGTCGCCCCCCCCCCCTCCGAAAATCCCCCCCCCCCCCCTGCTGGAACCCCTCCCCCCCCCCCTCCCCCGGCAACCCCTCCCCTCCCCTAACCGCTCCCCCCCCCCCCCCCTCGAAAACCGGGGGGGTCACTACCGGTTCGAACCCCCCCCCCCTCTCGAAAACCGGGGGGGGTCACTACCGGTTCGAACCCCCCCCCCCTTCGAAAACCGGAGGGGGGTCACTACCGGTTCGAACCCCCCCCCCCCCCTCACCGCCAGCAAACGACTCCTGGTCCCTACCACCGTCCGCATCACATCCCCCACTGTTGTTCCCAGCACCACTGTCCTCACCACCACTGTCCCCACTGGTTCCACCACCGTCCCTACTGTCCCCACCAGTGCCCCCACCACTGTCGCACTGTCCCCACTGTCCCCACCACTGTTCCCACCACGGTTCCACTCTCCCCACTGTCTCCACGGCCCCAACCACTGCCCGACTATCCCCACTGTCCCCACTGTCCCACTGACTCCTCCGCTGTCCCACTGAGCTGTCCCACTGTTCCCACCACTGTCCCCACTGTCCCCACCACTGTCCCCACTGCACCTCTGTCCCATTGTCCCACCGCCGTCCTCGCCACCGCCTTCACCACTGTCCCCACCACCATTGTACCCTCCACTGTCCCACTGTTTCCACCTCATTCCCACTGTCCCCACACCACTGTCCCCACCACCACCGTCCCCACCACTGTCCACTGTCCCCACTGTTCCCACCATTGTCCCCACCACTGTCCCCACCACTACCGTCCCCACCACTGTCCCACTGTCCCACTGTCCCCACCGCTGTCCCGCTGTCCCCTTACCACTGTCCCCACCACCACCGTCCCCACCACTGTCCGCACCCCCACTCGCTTTTCGAGGGGGGGGGGGGTTCGAACCGGTAGTGGCCCCCTCGGTTTTCGAGGGGGGGGGGGGTTCGAACCGGTAGTGACCCCCCCCCTTTTCATGATGAACTGGGGGGGGGGGGGAAAGTTCGAACCGGTAGTGACCCCCCCCGGTTTTCCGGAGGGGGCGGGGGGGGGGAAGGGGTTCGAACCGGTAGTGACCCCCCCCGGTTTTCCGCCAGCAGCGGTAGAACACGCTCTTTCACATGTGTACACCGCAACAACCATGTGCGACAGAGCGCCTGTGTACACCACAATGCTTGCGTGCACCGCAGCGCCTGTGCACGCCACAGCGCCTGTCTACACCACAGCATCCGCCAGGGCAGTGCTGATAATCGAATGCGATGTTTTTCCCTCTTCCCTCCTCCTCCACCTCCACCTCCACCTCCACCTCTTTCTCCTCCTCCTCCTCCGCTTCGTCCTCGTCCTCCTCCTACTCCTCCTCTTCCTCCTCCTCCTTACCCCCTGTCGTGCGGGGTGGCGCTACATCGCACGTGCGCAATTCAGCGCGCAGTGCACCGCATAATGGTTTATTGAATCGGTCCACTTGGTTCTCGCACGGCCAATTTAGCTGGAGCCTCCTGGACGCAGGCAGATGGGAGAAGTCAGGGTGATGCGGGCGGACTCGGGAGAACTCGTCGATTCCAGCGGCGCTCCTTTGTCCATAAGGATTCCTTTGTATTGATTCCTGTGGAATCCACAAGCGCTCCACTTTGTCATACGGACTCCTGCGAACATTCGATATGCAAGTGTGGCGCTGTGTTGCACACGGTTGCTGTGGTGCACACAGGCGCCGTGGTGTACACAGGCACCGCAATGCACGCAGGCATTACGGTGTACACTGGTGCTGTGTTGCACACGGCTGATGTGGTGTACGCAGGCGTTGCGGGGTCCATGACACCCGTAGTCATGCCCCAAGCATTCAAAAAATGGTCTCCACCTACCGAAACAGATCTCAATTCAGGACCTGTTCTTCAGGTCTGTTACACATCCGAGACCCAAGTCTAAACGTCTTCCTCTGGCCTTCCCCTTGCCACCCACTCTTCCTGCTCCTGCATCTTCGGGCATTGCCGGGGCCGGAAAATGCTCCCAAAACAGCGATAAGCCAAATGCAGAAGGAACCGTATCAAAATTTGTGATTTTTAAGCGCCGGCTGACTCGGATGCTGCGTGGCGTCCAAGATAATGTTGACGGCCGCGGCAAGGTCACCTGAACAGCGACACTCGTAGCAAGAGCCGCTGCCAGGACGACATTTGACTCCTCTCCCATGCGCGCCAGAGAACTCGGAGAGAATATGTAACAAATACCACATCGCCTAATTCTAGACGCGATGCGATGCAACAACCATGGGGAATAATGTGCACTTTGCCGTGGGCCGACCCCGAACGAAGGTCAGCAATCTCCGTCCTCCCTCGCAAAAACAATAAGGGTCGGATTGAACAACAAAACACATCGGTTCTTCTTCGGTTGCCTGTCTTCCGGCTCGACCACATCTGTGATGCCTCGTCATCTTGCACTGTCAGATTTGGCTCTGGAGCCAGACCACACCCGGACCCTTCTCCAGCCATCGCCCCGACTCAATGGACCTGCCGACCTGGCTCGGGTCGCGCAGGCGAGGGGCCACCAGAATGGGCCAGCGGAGCAGAACGATAGCGGACATGGGTCCCACAAGCCGGTCGGGCCCCCATGCTCGTGTCAAGACTTGAGGTCGAAAGATCCACCCCCGTAGTAACCACTCCGACACGCGAAGTCGTTCGGCAAACGCGCCCGAAGAAGGAATCAAACAGGGCAGGGCTGTTCAGTAAACGCCCAAGGCCGTTCAGGAAGCGCCAGTTGTCGGGTCCGGGTGGCTTTTCCTCCCTTGAAAGACGGGGGGCCACGAAGGGCTGCGACGGGGCCACGAAGGGCAGCGAAGGGGCCGCGCAGGGGTGCAACGGGGCCACGAAGGGCAGCGAGGGGGCCACGAAGGGCAGCAAGGGGGCCACGACGGGCTGCAACGGAGGCGCAAGTTGGAGGCCTGGAAATGGGCACCAACACCAACACAGGGGGTTGCCTCCACAAGTGGAAGACGATCCTAGATTTCGGTGGTGGTGATAATATTTCCGTCACCTTGGAAGCAATACTATTACTACCATCGCCGAGATCGGGATCTTCGTCCCTCGGTGGAGGCACACCGCCGATACTGGTGTTGGTGTCAACCTGTAGGCCTGCGAGCGAGGTCGCCTCTGGCCTGCCTCCACGCCGTGCGCAGCGCCTCCTCCGAGGGCCCCGGGCCGACGATGGTGCGCAGCAGGGACGCGTCCGGGCCGGTCGCCATGCGCGCACGCGCGGCCTCGGCGGGGGGGTCGCCCAGGGCTCCTCGGGGGCCCGCCCGCTCGCCTGTTCCATCCCGCCGTCGGTCTCTCTATCTCCCCTCCCTCCTCCTCCTCCTCCTCCTCCTCCTCCTCCTCCTCCTCTCCTCCTCCTCCTCCTCCCTCCTCCTCCTCTCCTCCTCCTCCTCCTCCTCCTCCTCCCTCCCCTCCTCCTCCCTCCCTCCCTCCCTCCCTCCCCCCTCCCTCCCTCCCTCCCTCCCTCCCTCCCTCCCTCCTCCCCTCCTCCTCCCTCCCTCCCTCCCTCCCTCCCTCCCCTCCTCCCTCCCCCTCCTCGCTCCTCCCTGCTCCCTCCTCCTCCTACCTCCTCCTCTCCTCCTCCTCCTCTTCCTTCTCCTCCTCCTCCACCTCCACCTCCACCTCCACCTCCACCTCCACCTCCACCTCCTCCACCTCCTCCTCCTCTTCCCCCTCCTCCTCCTCCTCCTCATCCACCTCCTCCTCCTCCTCCTCCTCCTCCTCATCCTCCTCCTCCTCCTCCGGGGGGGCCCGCCCCTCGCCTGTTCCATCCCGCCGTCGGCCTCTCCATCTCCCCTCCCTCCTCCTCCTCCTCCCTCCTCCTCCTCCTCCTCCTCCTCTCCTCCTCCTCCTCCTCCTCCTCCTCCTCCTCCTCCTCCTCCTCCTCCTCTCCTCCTCTTCCTCGCCCCGCGCCGCCGCGTCGCTGCCCGCCCCCCCCCCCGCGCGCTTGTAGCCTGAAGCCCGCGCACCTGCGTCCGCGCGAGAACGCGAGGTTGCATGCCTGGCGCACGGAATTGGAGGCGTTGCCACATTGCTGCGCCCGGACGCCGAGCATGTTCGCAAGGAGCGGGGCGTCGGCGTCGAGGCCGGCAGCAACTGGAAAAGGAGTCAGAAAACCGCCGCTTGCAATGGGGCTAATACGTCGCGGTTTCCCCGCCAGAATCACAACTAGAAGGCGTGGAATGGGCGCTCGACTCCACGGTTAACCACTGGGGCCCGTAGAGAACGCCGCGCCTCCCCAGTCGCGGCCGCAACGTTCGCCCTTGATCGTCGGATTCGATATTCCAGGCGCGGCGCCAAGAAAACGCCATCGATGCCACCCCGATTCGCCCGCTCGTCCTCTCGGGGCGGCCCGCGCGAAGCGCGACCTGTTCTCTCAGGGAGACCCGCGCCATTGTCCGCGCGACGGGGCCTCCTGCAATCAGATGATCGACGTTCCCGCCTATGGACGACGGGGGCGCTGAAAGTCCCGGGTCGCTTCGCGCGATCGCTGCCCACGCGCGTCGTGCGCGGCAACAGCCGCCAAGTTGCCCCCCCAGAACCACTCCCATTAAATGACTGCGCCCCCCTTACAGACAGTCGGGAAGTCGGTGCGATCTGAGAACTCGGCCCGAAGACTCAAATCGCGCGAAGGCAACGGGCGATTGGCAAAGCCAGGCCAAGGGCCGTCGGCGCAGTCAGCCCGGCGAATAAAAAATTCGGCGGCAAGGCGCGAGGGCGGGCGCATCGCCGGGCGCCGGGAAGCGCGCGCCCCGACCACCGCCAGAGGCCATAATTCTAGAACCTCGATAAATGATCACGCCCCCGTGATCGAGTAGCGATGGCCCGCGATGGCCGCGTCGAGTAGCGACGGACGCCGTTGTTGTGCGCAGCAATAATCCCCCTCCTCCTCTGCCGCCTCCTCCTCCTCCTCCTCTCGCTCCCTCCTCCCCTCCTCTCCTTCACCTCCTCCTCCTACTTTTCTTCCTCTTCCTCCTCCTCCTCCTCCTCCTCCTCCTCTTTCCCTTCCTTCCTCCGCGTGTTAAAAGTCAGCATGTGGACTTTGTACAAGGGGGGCCTCAGCTCTCTTACAGTGATCCTCCTCTTCCACCTCCTCTCCTTTCTTCTCCTCCTTTGTTTTTCTCCTCCTCCTCCTTTTCCTTTTCCTCCTCCTCCTCCTCCTCCTCCTCCTCCTCCTCCTCCTCCCTCCTCCTCCTCCATTTCTCCTCCTCCTCCTCCTCCCCCTCCTGATCCTCCTCCTCTTCCTCCTCCTTTTTCTTCTCCCCCTGATCCTCCTCCTCCTCCTCCTCCTCCTCCTCCTCCTCCTCCTCCTCCTCCTCCTCCTCTTCCTCCTCCTCCTCAGGTCCTCGTTCTCCTCCTCCTCCTCCTCCTCGTCCTCTTCCTCCTCCTCCCTCCGACTCCCGTGTTGTTTTCGTTGCTGTTGTTTCCGTTGCTGCCGTCCTTCGTCGTTTCCGTGCGGACCCGCCCGCAACCCGCTTAAGCGGCGGCAGCGTCAGCAGGATTGGCAATGGGGTGAGGGGAAGAAGGAGCGGCAGGAGGAGGACGGCTGCTACTTCTGTTGCAAGCGCTTCAATCTGCCAATGATTATTCACCCCAAATCAGAAGCACCCACTTAGACATAATCATTGGCTCCATAGTCGAAATGTGGCACGACGAAGCAACGTCTCCAACGTGTTTATGCATATCTTCGTCCGCATATGTCCAAAACGTTCTTGGGTTCCTGATGCGAGCTTGCGCGTGGCAAATGTGCCAGAATAGGTGAAACTTATGAGATAGCTTCCAAGCCCGCTCCTCCGCCAGGAGGCTTTCCCCGCTCAGCTGAACGTAGCACAGGAGAACACATCCGCGCAATGACAATTGGCCAGCCGATCTAGCCCAGTGGCTGGGGGGATGTCTGGCCCCTATTTTTCAACGATAACGTAAACAGAACCCACATACCAGCCGCAAGTCTACGCCTGCGATCGCGTGCGCTGCCAGTCGTGCTTCTCAAGCAACAACTTTGCGAAACGGCTCATGTGTCGCGTTGTGGCAGCCTTGGTCTTTGGCTTAGGCCAGTCGGATGATGTTTAGATTATGTTGTACGTCAAGGCTCCCTGCAGCTTCGACGATTTGATTTCTTTAGGCTGAACCTTGTACCAATTCTTCAGCTCAGATGCCACGTTTGCAGCTTGCTCTTTTTGCAGATTGCTAGACCTTGCTCAAGTGTGCGCGCAGCGTGCAGATCATGATTACTTCGGGCCTCATGCCACGAATGGCAAATAGCTTGGAAAGCACGCAGCCCTCGGCGGCCAACCCTGCTAGATACGATTCGTGCGTCCGAAGCGCGACCCGAAAAGGCGCGTCGCGGTGAACGCTTGCCCGCCGAAGCTTGTTTTCGAGAAGGCTGGTGCGACGCAGCCAGCAACAGTTATCAGCATCCCAACGCTTCAAACCAAGGCACATGCTATAGAATTCCGAATCAACCATCTTGATGCACATGTTTGCCGCCACCGAGAACGGGCATGCACTTTCAATCAGAAACAGGCGTCTGCCCTGCCCCAAGAACGTTCATTGCCCAAGCAAAAGATGATAATATAGCGCCGATCGTGCCTGGTCCGAACGTCAGATTTGTCGATGCAGTTGAAGATCTGCTCTGTCTGCATTGTTGACCCATCTGGCGCGAGAAGGGAATCCCATGATAACGTGAAAAGCCTTTCATGCATGGTCATGGGCGCTCCGTCCGCGTGCAACCCCGCAGGGTGCATCTATCGAATTCTGCCTCTCGCGACGTCGGGTGCTTGTCAAGATCGGGCGGCCCTTCACTGATTCCCAAAATGAAAACCTTCAACCTCGCTCACCTTCAAAATCGGTTTTCCAATATCTCTGCCTGTGCGCGCCGAGCTTTTCAAATACTTGAACTGGGCATATTACAAGATGGCTCTGGACTTCCCCCTCGGGCCCCCTAGGCGACGCATTTGATGTCAGGCGCGTGCTCCGGCCACCGCAGGAAAAAAACACGACAGTTCGATGCGCAGTCTTGGCGCCCCAAGTCCTGGGGCGCGAAGAGCGCGCTCTGCACCCTGATCGCTGGCGGCTTGACAGTATTCAAGCACCCTGAGATTGAAAATGGGGCTCTGGGGATGGGGTTGCCGAGCGCGCCTTCCACGGCGGCAGCGCGCCTTCGAAGCGATCGAGACTTGGCCGCGAACGAACTTCCATCCTGGGTCGAAGCAGACGTCACCGCACCGACTCTTTTTTTTGCCAACCCCCCTGTGCGCCCATCCTTGCCACTAGCCGCGAGCCCGCTAGATATCGAGAGGACGCTCCAAGCAACGAGCCGCAGAAACGACGATCGTCACATCTGCTAGGCCATGCAAAAAAACAAAAAAACACGCAGGCGCGGTGCCGAACGAATGGGTGCGAGTTCAAATGGTTACGGAGTGGGCGTTGTTTGCGCGCGGTTAATGGTTTTTGCATCATGCTTCACACTTCGCTCCCGTGATCCCCGATGTGACCTCACGGTTCCTAGGGTGGGAGGCCCATGCGAGTCCCGTCAAGACCTCATGGGAGTTCCAAGGGGAGCATGGTCGGGGATGCAATGGGGCCCCAGCTGCCGACTTACACGCAAATGATGATTGGCCGCGGGATCTAAGGAGTCCAGTCTGAACCCAAAGAGCCCTCAGCGTTGACCCCAAGAGCAACCGAAGTTAACCCAAAGAGCCCCAAAGAGACCCCAATAACCCCAAGGCCCCCAGAACCCTAAGAGCCCAAAGACCAAAACAAGCAAAAACCAAGAACCCGAAGAGCCCAACTGACGCCAAGAACCCCAAGAACCCCAAGAGCCCCAATAAGCCAAAGAACTCTAAGACCCCTGAGAACCAACAACCCCAAGAACCCCGCGCAACCCGAGAGCCCCAAGAGCCCCAAGAGCCCCAGTGACCCCGAGAACCCCAAGAGCCCCAGAACCCCAAGCAACCCAATGTTCTTACATATGTTTGTTTTTCCCGTGCCGACCCTTGCGCGCGCCGCGCCCCGAGGCGACTGACGGCGTCGAGAGCTCGAGAGGCTGCTCGAGCGCGCTGTAGAAACACGGGCGCTGCCCCATGAGAGCGCGCACATGTAGAAACAGGGCCGCGGACCTACGTCGAAGAACTCTGCGATTTGCTGGCCTTGCCGGGGTTGAGCTTCTTGTGCCAGTCGATGACTTCCGAGTGCGCAGAGCCGAAGGCGTCGATCTGCATGGCCGCGGCCAAGTAAACGTCGTCGCCAACAATGGTGCCGTCGCAAGTCTGTAAGTGCAGCTGCTCCAATGACTTCACCGCTTTTGCTGCTTTCGGAATCAGCTCACTGGTCTCAGTGCGCAGTGGCTGTAGGAATTGGTTGTTCTTGGTTGCTTCGAACATCTCCTTCAACTTGAGGAGGTGCTCGCTGCGGGCGCTGGACGCAGCCTTCACGTTGCTCTTCACCATGGCCAACGTCGCGCTGCGCTTCCCCGCGCCGTCGCCAAGCCCTCCAGCAGCACTCGAAGCAGCGGCGCTGTCATACCCATCAGCGTTCTTCACCTGCCTGACTTTCACCTCGTCCAGCTCCTTGGCACCCAGGCCCGCGCGCGGTGCGAGGTCCGTCGTGAACGCGCTGGCGTCTGCGATGCCCTCGCATTCGACCTCCGCCGCGGCGTCGAGCTTCTCCGACTTGATGTTCTCCTCGTCGTCGCCTCCGCTGTCGAAATATAGCTTGTGCTCGATCGACCGCTCGTCGCCCATGCCAGTCGCTGGGTCTGGTCGCGTTGTTAACGCGCCGCTGGCAATCTTCAAGTCCGCCTTCTTCCCCGATGTGCTCCTGCAGTTGCTCCTTGCCGACCCGCTGGAAGTTGCGCTCGTTGTGGGATCTCAGCGTGTACTCTTTCGAAGTGGCCTGGATCACCTTCGCGCCGTTATCGACGAGCTTCTTGGCGTGCCAGGTTTCGAAGAAGTCCCTTTTCTCAGGGCATGTCCAGCTCTTGAACACATCGCGCGTTCCCTGGCCATTGAGAACACGAGGCACGGGCGAACGCTGACGCTTCAGCTCAGCCTCGCCTCTGAGAGCAGCCTTGGCGGCAGCCAGCTCTGCTGGTGAGACCGCGGGCTCGACTGGGGCAGGGGCGCACGCGCGCTCCGTGGGGGGCATGCGGCGCGCTGCGCGCGCCGGGCATCCCAGCGCGAGCTCGAGCCCCAACGATCCGGCCACGATGGAGAGTTGCACCGGTTCAGTGCCGACATGGCTGAAGAAAACAACAACAATGTATACATGTATATATATATATATGTATTAAAACATCAAACGAAACATTATGCGTTTTAGCTCGTTTGGCTGGCAAAAAGCTTATATGGCTGAAATGACATTTTCTTACGCTTCTCAAGTTAATATATATATATAT